ATAATAACAGCTAACACTTATTAGGCTTTATATGTTCCAGACCCGTTAGCACTCATAAAAGCGCTTTCCATGAATTATTTCGTTTCCTCCTAGAAGGTGATTGTGAAGGTTATTCCCTCTTTAAATAGGAAGGAATTAAGGCACAGAGAAGTCAGGTCAGTTTCTCAAGGTCACAGAAAAGATGAGTAATGACAAATTCTACAAATCCAGATAGCCAGACTCCAGAGGCCACACACTAACCGCTGCTCTGTGTTACCTCCCTGTGTCAAAGATCCACAGAGCAGACCATAGTCCTGTTCTGGCTTAGTGGCAAGGTGATGCTGTCCTCAGTAAATAACTGGATAGCTCTCTCTCTTTTTATTTTATTTTAAAAAATATTTATCAGATTTCTATAGAAACATTTCATTCAGAATGAATTCACTAATAATTTTATTAGCTTCCTTAGCTGTTGATGGTTTCCTGTTTTCATATCTTGGTTTGTAGGCTCATTTTCCTAGAATCAAATGAAGACGAAAATGCAACTTACCAGAACAGCAGCAAAGGCAGTGCTAAGAGGAAAGTTTATAGCTATGAGTGCCTAAAAAATCAGAGATTGCAAATAAATAACCTAATGATATATCTCAAACTCTTGGAAAAGCAAGAACAAACCAAATGCTAAATTAGTGGGGTAGAAATTAAAAAATAAAGACTGAAAAATACAAAGGGTCAATAAAACAAAAAGTTGGTTCTTTGAAAAGCTAAACAAAATTGACAAATCCTTAGCCAAACTAACCAAAAGAAGGAGGGAGAAGACTCAAATTAATAAAATTAGAAATGCAAAAGGGGATAGCATAGAAAATACCAATGAAATCTAAAGGATCATTAGGAAATAGTTCAAAACTTTATATTCTAATAAACTGGAAACTCTAGAAGAAATGGATGCATTTCTAGATGCAGATGCCTCATCTAAATTGACCCAATTGGATATAAACCACTTAAACAAATCTGTGATGAGAAATGAGATTCAAACAATAACAGTCTCCCAACAAAGAAGAGCCCAGGACCTGACGGACTCATCGCCGAATTCTACCAAACTTTTAAGGAAGAATTGACAGCAATGCTCCTCAAATATTCCATGAAATAGAAAGGGAAGGGTCACTACCAAGCTCATTCTGTGAAGCCAGTATCACCCTGATACCAGAAACCAGACAAGGACACAAAAAATAAAGAGAAAATTATAGACCAATTTCCTTGATGAACATAGATGCAATATCCTCAACAAAATGTTTGCAAACTGAATTCGGCAACACATTAAAAACAGCATGGACTATGACCCAGTTGATTTCACTCCAGGGATGCAAGGATGGTTTAACACATGCAAATTAATAAATGGTAATACTGCACATAGACAAAATAAAGGATAAAAAAATCACACAATCATCTCCATAGATGCAGAAAATGCCTTTGAAAAAAATTCAACATCCCTTCATGATAAAAGCTCTGAAGAAATTCGGAATAGAAGGAACACACTTCAACATAATAAAGGCTATATATGAAAAACCTACAGCCAAGATTGTATTAAACAGGAAAAAACTGAAACCATTTCCTCTAAAGTCAGGAACAAGACAGAGTGTCCATTCTCTCCAGTCTTTTTTTACACAGTGCTTGAATTCCTAGCCAGAGAAATAAGGCAAGAGAAATAAATAAAAGGCATACAAATAAAAAAAAGATGAAGTCAAATTATCCCTATTTTCAGATGATTTGGTCTTATACTTAAAAGACCCTAAAGATCACACACACACAGTTCTTAGGTCCAGTAAACAAGTAGAAGGACACAAAATCAACACACAGAATCTGCAGCTTTTTTATACACCAACAACAAACAGGCTGAGAAAGAAATCTGAAATAATCCCATTCACAATAGCCTCAAAAAATGCCTGGGAATAAATCTAAGGAGGTTAATGAAAACTATAAAACATTGAATAAATTGAGGAAAACACTAGAAGATGGAAAGGCATCCCATGTTCATGGATAGACAAAAATTAATATTGTGAAAATGGTTATAGTACTGACAGCAATCTACAGATTCAATGCAATCCCAATCAAAATCCTAATGACCTTCTTAAAAGAAATAGAAAAAAAATCAACCCTAAAATATATGTGGAAGCATAAAAGACCCCCAAATAGCCAAATTAATGCTTGAGGTATCACAATACCTGAATTCAAATTATACTACAGATTAATAAAAAAAAGTGTGGTACTGGCTCAAGAACAGACATGTTGACCACTGAAGCAGAATAGAAAACCCAAAATAAACTCACAAAGCTACAGCTAGCTGATTTTTGACAAACAACCAAAAACATATATTGGAGAAAAGACAGCCTCTCAACAAATGGTGCTAGGATATCCACATGTAGAAGACTGAAGCTAAATTCCCGTCTCTCTCCCTATACAAAAATCAATTCAAAATTGATGAAGGGTATTAATGTAAGACCTGAAACTTTGAAACTAATGCAGGAAAACATAAGGGAAACCACTTGAAGATCTAGGAATAGGGAATGACTTTCTGAGTAGGAGTCAATTGCTCAGGAAATAAGAGCAAGAATTGACAAACAGGATTGCACCAAATTAACACATTTACAGAAAAATTTCAAGTACCATACACAGAACTTATTTCCCTTGCATCATTAAAAAAATCTTTTATAGTTTGATCAATAAGTAGAAAGGCATTTAATTAATCACATATGTAAGAAATCTTCTGGCATGAAAATGGAAGTTTCTTGACCAAAGGGCTTTATTTTTTAAGAAAGGTATACTTACATTCTTTAAAAAACAAAAGCAAAAAGTCTTTTGAGTTGGGTGTGGTTGTACATGCCTGTAATCTCAGCACTTGGGAGGCATTGAGTTCAAGGTTAGCTGGGGTTACAAAATGGGTTTCAGGCCAACCTGGGCTACAAAGAAAGATGTGTCTCAAGAGAAGACAAAACTTTTCACCCCTTTTTATTAGGGTTTTTTGGGGGGGTAGTACTGGAGTTTGAACTCAGGGCCTCATGTTTGCTCTACCACTTGAGCCACTCCACCAGCTTTTTTGCTCCACTCCACTTTTTTGTGTTGGGTATTTTCAAGATAGGGTCTCAAAAACTATTTGCCTGGGCTGGCTTCAAACCAGGATCCTCCTAATTTCACCCTCCTGAGTAGCCAGATTATAGGCGTGAGTCACTGCACATATTTTAATTGTACAAAATAATGGGTTACATTATATGTTTTCATACATGTGTATAATGTGCTTTGAAAAACCCCCATTACCCTCTCTTCCCCGCTCCTAACATTTTCTAGGTTTTCTTTAACAGTCTGGAGGTCAGAAGCCTCAGATCAATCTGACCAGACTAAAACTCAAGGTATTGGTTCCTTCTGGAGGTTCTGGGTGAGAATCTGTTCCTTGCTTCTTCCAGCTTCTTGAGGTTTCCTTGGCATTCCTTGGCTCACAGCCTCGTCCTGCCAACATCTCCATCTTCACATCTCATTTTCCCACTCATAGCCCCTCCCTCTCTCTTATAAAGACCCCTCTGACTTACTTGGCCCCTGATAATCCAGGATAATTTCCTAGTCTGCGTAATGACACCTGCTTTTGCTATGTACAGAAACATTCGCAGATTCTGGGGTTCAGATGTGGACATCTTTGGGGGCATACAACCGGGGTGTCTGACAGGCTTGTGGGGGACAGTTAGCTCCTTTCCTCTTATAATTTGTGGAGAGATGCTTTAAACTGTAATTATCTCACTTCTCATCAAACTTTCAACTATTTTCTTCAATATAGGTTGATAGTTTATTTCATTCAACAAGTTATAATTCATCATTATCATTATGTATTGTAATAATAAATTGTCAATAAATAAACAAGTTGTCTCAGATTTAGCCAGTGGGGCCCCTAGAAGGCAGCCTCTGGATTTCTTTGACATGTCCCTTACCTTCCCGCCCAAGTGCAGGTGATGGTGAGTGGATGTCATGTTCTCTCTCACCTGCCTCCCTTCCTGCCTTGCCTCCCGGTTTCATGGCATTCTCCAGCTCCCACCCTATGGTATGTTGGGGATAATAAGCATCCTAGACAGCCAGGACTATGGCCCACCGATTATCAGTAGCTCTTCCCCCACCCCGTCATCCTTCCAGGGATTTGGGTACATTCAAACCCCCACCTTCCAGACAAGAGTCAGTTCCTCCCTGTTTATCCCAAAGGACCTTTGACTTCCAAAGCCCGGCAGGTCTCAGGCTTCAGCTCCTGAACACTTTTTGTCTTTTCTGTTTTCGATTCACGGACATGCTGATCCTAATTCAGCCTGGTTATGTCTTTTTGATTTACCTTATAGATCTCACCTCTGATTGCCGTAGCCTGGAGAAGAGACTGGGGGAAGTCCGTTCCGTGTCAGCAGTGTTTCGTTTTTTAAAGACCACATGGCCGTATGTCAGGTTATAGCAAAAAGACACGGGGAAGGAGGAAGAGGCACGGAGAGAAGGTGGCAAAACTGTCTTTGTCGGGTGACCACTCCCCTAGACCCCGTCCTTCACTCATCGGTCTATTCAGTCCAGCTTTTAGATTTGGGGCCCAGACGGGGGAGGAGGGGAGGAGGAGAGAGAGACCGTGGGCTACTGAATCTGCCACTGAGGCACCTGTTCAGGTGCTGACACCTACCCATTGTCGTCACCCAGCTCCCAAGGGAATGTTATTGATCCCAAAACTTAGCGAGGGCCACCAGGATGGGAGAGGGGAGGGGCGCACTTGGTCCTTGTGTCACCTGATCTGCTTCTTGCCGACCCAAGGGGCGGTTGCAGCCAGCCCGCCCCCGCCCCATCCACTGGGGACGAGGACCCTGGGCCATTTCACCTCCCAGACCCTCAGGGGTCAAGTCCAGGTCGGCCGGCCCCGCCCCCGCCCACCCAGTGGGCGGGGCTCATGGCCAATGCCCTCGCGGGGTGCGCCGAGCTGTCCGTCGGGTCCTAGCGCCGTCCTCTCCGCCCCACAGACCTCGGCGACCCGGACCAGCGCTCATTTGCTGGCTCGCAGCTGGCTGGTGTCGCCGGGGCATCCCACGACTGAGCTCGCGGCGGCTGCCACCGGCCTGCCCGCCATGAGGAGCGCGCACCCTCTGGTCCTTCTCTCCCTGGTCGCCCTTTGCGGGCGCGGTGAGTTCTTTTCGGGGAAGGAGGGAGGGGCGCCTGGGTTGGGCTGTGAGCCGGGCTGGACTGGCCACAGGGGGAGGAATGGAGGATGCCCGGAACCGGGAGGAGTGGCCCGGGGTTGTCCTGGCCGGATGGGGACGTAGGCGGGGCTGAACGAGGTTTGGGGTGGGGGTGGGGGGCTGCTTCTCCGCCAGGGCCACCCTGGGTGGCGCGTGTCTTTGGGCTGTGCAGCGGGGCTGGGTGACCCTGGCTGGCTCCGCAGGCAGCGCCGCTCAGCCCCGGGGCCGAGGTGACTTTCTATAAGAGTGAACGCAACGCAGCCTGCAACCGGGTGGAGTAGGTATCTGGGTGGCGATCTGCTGATCAACCGTAGAGAGAGGTCACCCCCACACTGTGGCAGCGATGGGGACACTTAGCTAGGGGGACGGGCTGGCGATTTGGATCCTGCCACTCAGAAGCCGGGTCTCTGGCAACTGGAAGAGACCCAATCAGTCCTCCTCCCCTCAGAGTTCAGACAGGGTGAGAATCGCCCTTTCTGAGCCTCCGTTGTCCCACCTGAGTTCCAAGGACCCTTTCAGCTGCTTACTCTGATCCAAGCTTGTGCTCTGGACTTCAGTCCACCCAGAGGACCAGGGCTACATCTGCCTCCAGCAGAGACCAACTACAGGAGGTGCTGGAGTGGACACACGGATCGCTATAGGAAAGTAGAGCTCCAATCAAAGAGGTGTCCACACACTTGTGTGTGCGTGTGGCTTTGCACCACCTGCTGGGGTCCCCCTGTGCCGCTCCTTTTCTCCTCTGGGCCTGTTTTCCTATCTGTTCTATGAAGATGGTAGGTCCTGCCCCTTTGGTGTGGGGGCCAGTGATGAAGTGTGGTCCTCTGAGGCAGCCTGCATCGCCCAGTACAGATTCTTGGGCCCCACCCTAGGCTTGAGGGATCAGAAGCTATGGACACAATGCCTGGGAATCCTGTTTTATACAAACAGGTGATTCTCCAATCACACAGTAGTATACAGCAAGCTCCTTGTAAAAGATAAGATCTCAACTTAAAACAAAAATCCACAGCTGCCTTTTAATAAACACATCTCATATGTCTTTCCTCAGTTAAGGACACCCCTGCTGCCCACAAAATTGACAGCCTCTGACTTTTAGATGTCCACTTGTCAGCAAGATTCTGTTGGCTTTTACTTTCTGCAGTTGTATTCTGCAATGTCTTTCCATTTTTAGATTGGATGTGCTTTCTCAGACTGGACACACACATACACACCGTTTAGAATTCCAGCTACGGCTGCCTCTCAGACTGCTACCTCTTTCTTCCCTGGGAGCCCTTTTCCCAAAGAAAGCCTCCAAAGGCAAGACCTTGAATGGAGATGGACCCACTGCTCATCAGAATAATCATTGGCTCATGACTGACCCCTAGTGGTGGCCTCTGTTTAACTGTGTACACCCTAACTGAGCCTCTGGGATGTGAACCCTAATTGTGCTCCAGAGTTTACACCTGCTCTGGGCCACCTCTGTCATCTGGGGGTGAAAGGCTTGTCTTTTGAACCTAGCATGCCTCACAGGCATAAGCAGATTGGAAAGCCTAAGGTTTCCAATTCTGGGTCCCCCCTCCTCTACTTTTGGGGGGCAGATGGAGTACATTCTAGCCCATAGCAGTCTTGATGGTTATTCTCACCCCTCCGCCCCCACACATACTCACAAGTACAAACACCTGTGTGTGCATAGACGTGGGCACACCCCCACACCCCACCCCATGCTTGCACAACACCAATTAAGGCCTCCACAGAATCTTCTTGAGGGGGAAGTTAATGAGGACACTAAAGAAGTCACAAGGGTCAGAGGACCTCTGTCTGAAAGAGATTCCTAGACTTTGACTTGCTGAGGATCCTAGAGCGAGTTCCTTCCCTCTTCAGCCTCAAGTTTCCCCAACTGAGAAATGGAAGGTTGGATAAATGTTCTAGGATTCAGGACCTTCCCCTGGTGCCAGTGGCTCACACCTATTACCCTAGCTACTTGGGAGGCTGAGATCAGGAGGATTGCAGTTGAAGGCCAGCCTGGGCAAATAGTTCAGGAAACCCTAATCTCCAAAATAACCAGCGCAAGATGGACCCGAGGTGTGGCCCAAGTGGTACAGCACTTGCCTTGCAAATGTGAAACCCTGAGTTCAAATCCCAGTCCCTCCCCCCACCAAAAAGATTCTAGAAACCTCCAACTTGAGTCCATAGGAGTTCTCAAGATTCAGGATGGTCTTTCAGGTCAACTGAATACAGGAGACTCGGGATGGGCCAACGGGGAGCAAGCTGAGTGCAGCAGGTGGGCTCGGAGCTGGAGCTTGATCCCCCAACGGCCTGCAGAGCAGCCTAGAATCTGCGGAACCCAGGAGAATCAGACTTGTGGGGCTGCAGATATGTGGGAATCCAGCCTCTCCCGGTCTGGGGGGCTGGAGATCCTAAGCCCAGATCACATGTGGGCAAGCCAACACCCTCTCTGTGCAGTCAGTGCAAAGAGATAAACTAAAGACGGGCTGTGGGAGTGACCAGCTAGAACCTGAGGTTCCTGCTGACCCCTGGGGATTCAAGCAGCTGGCTTCTGGGAGAGATACAGCGCTCAGAATCTAAGCCAGGAACCCACAGGGTCCCTCCCCCTCCCCCAGCCCAGAGCAGTCTGGGGGGCAGGGACTACAGGCAGCAGGTGTGCTGGGAGCATCTTTCACAAGGCACTAAATATTGCATCTGCTCCAGATAGTCAGCGAGTTGGAAAGTGCATGGGGGAGCAGGGTGGCGCCTCCTCTCCTGGCCTCCTCTCCTGGCCGCGTGTCCAGCCCAGCACCCACCAGGAGTCCTTTGACCTTCTCAATTGGAGCGATTCTTGCTCAGGCCCTACCCAAAAAGGGAGGGGTTTGGTAAGACTCAGAAATGGCTTTCAGAGGGAGATGCAATCAGGCTGTGGGGCTGGTGAACCAGACGGCCCCTCGCCAGCATCCCCACCCCCATCTCTTCAGTCTCCTGCTCCCTTATCCTCCCGCCTGTCCCCTTTTCCCAGCACTGTTTCCGTTGCCACTCCCATCTCTTTTCCGGCTTCTGGGCATCCCGCTCATGTGACCTTCCTCTGAGCCTTCCTCTTTCCAAGTTCCCTTCCCCCACCCGTACCTGACACGTTCTCCTGAAGACACTATAGAATTGCACCTCAAGTCCTTGAACCTTCCCTTCCCTTCAAGCCATGTGAGGGAGATGAGACAAAGACCTAAATATTACTTGACAGGAGATCTGAGGTGTGAAGGGGTACAGCTTTGGGCTGTGGGGTTTCAGGGGTGGAGGCTGATGACTAGCTGGGGTTCTAGGCTGCCCTGGAGCTGAGTCCTAAATATAGCTCTGAGCCAAGACCTCTCCTTTAAGCGCCATACCAGGAACCAGCTACTAGCTGTACCACTCTATTTGATGTCTCCAAGGGACCTTGTGTTCTGTAAGTCTATGTCTGAATGCAGAAAATCCCCCACCCATCCCAGCCCTGTTTTTTTCTTAGGGAAAACACTGCCACAAACTCCCAGATGTGCACAAAGCCCACATTTGCGTAATAGTGCTGCTTTGTATACTCACAGGGGATAGGAACTGTCCCTGGGTTTTGCTTGCTGTTATGTCCAGGCATAAACTGGACACTTAGATATTTGATGACGGGTGGAAAATTTGGGGAGAAGAAAGAGTGAAGGCTACATTGGAGAAAGGCAAGAGGCAGGTATGGTCAGAGAATAGCATCTAGGATTGGTCAAGGTAGAAAGGCAAGAGAAAATCAGGTTAAGAAAGATAAGCCAGTGCTAGGGGCAAAAGACCTTGAATGCCAAACCAAAACATTTTGGGGTTTAACTCTGCCTTCAGCTCTGAGAGGTTGTAGGTAGGGAAGAGCACTGATTCAGTTTGCAACTGGTTCATGGATGACCCAGGAAGATGGGGAAACTAGCAAGGAAGCTGCTAGAATGGCCCAGGGCAGGGAGGGGAGTGAGGGGTTTGACTGTAGGACTGAAGATGGGAGAACAGACGAGGGGACTTGGAAAGTAGAAGAGACAGGCCCAGGTAGCCACATGGAGGAATCAACAGAAGGACAGATGCCCAGGTTTGGGGCTGGATGTGTGGAGCATGGGAGCCACTGAGAGCTAGAGAGAGCAGGACCAAGAGGTGTCCTATGGGAGGAAAGAGCTGATCTTTGTCTTGTCTGTGTTTATTTTGAAGTCCCCAAGGAGAGACAGGCCTGCTGGCACCTTAAGTGCTGCAGCTTACCCTGAGGGCATCTGTGTTCCCCAGTTTTCATGGCTCCACCGCCATAGCTGCAGTGGGGTTCAACTGGACAAGGGCCTAGCAGGTCTGACTCTGTGATTAACCAGGGGATTGCCGCCTGGCCAACGCCGAGGAGAAGCTGATGGATGACCTTCTGAACAAAACGCGCTACAATAACCTGATCCGCCCAGCCACCAGCAGCTCGCAGCTCATCTCCATCCATCTGCAGCTCTCTCTGGCCCAGCTCATCAGCGTGGTAGGTGCAGAGGCAGCTGGGGCTCCAGGCTCAGGAGAAGGGGCAGGGCCAGTTTTTAGTGTCCCTTCCACGTCCTGGAAAAGGAGTGGCCATTTAGTGCACAGAGCTGGGGGTCAGGAGACTGGACTGACCTTCTAGCCTTGCCCAGATGGGCAAGGTCTCAGATTGTTCATGTTTTCCTAGATTTTTAAAAAATTAATATATATTCTAATACATATTTAATTGACACATAGCAACTGTACATATTTGTGGATTACAGTGTGACTCTTTTTGTTTGTGTTGTTTTTTGGAAACAAGGTCTCACTATGTAGCCCAGCCTGGCCTCGAACTCACAATCTTCCTGCCTCAGCCTCCCCAGTGCTGGGATTACAACCATGGCCAGTATGACATTTTAATACATGCGTGCAGCGATCCGTTCATGGTCAGTGGCATATCTGTCACTTCAGACATATGTCATTTCTTTGTGTTGGGAACATTCAAAATCCTATAGCTCCTTTGAAATATTCAGTTAATTGCATTAGGGGCTAGTCCTCCTTGTCCAACTGTACCTCGGTACCCTTTTGCCATTCTCTCTCCAGCCCTCCTCCAACTCTCAGCCTTTGGTAACCACCGTCCACTGCTCTACTCTCATTATTTGCGATCTGATCTTTTTCCATATTAAGAAAGTAAGCAATTGGGCTCAACTTTGAGGTCCTGCCTTGCCTCAAAGTTAAGACTCTTTCATGGATGCTGTCTGTGCTTGTGCACATGCCTGGGGTGTCCTGCCCTCTTTGTGCCCCCTGGCCCCACAGTTTGGAGACACAATCAAATCCGTGATCTCAATATCAATTTAAATGGCTTTGCATTAGGTAAGAGAACATCCAGCTAAGACAAAAGGACATATTAATTATATTGCATAACAAGAGAGCAGGCCTACACTTTCAAGGTTGGTTAACTCAATAATAATTCAGTGATGTCAGGACCCTCAGGCGTTGTCAGTGATGTCAAAGCCCTGCAATTCTCTTGTTTTTCTACACAAGATGGCAACTACAGATCCAAACAAGTGTTAGCAAGTAACTGTTACAAAGTTTGCATGAGGAAAATACAAGTTGATAGATAAGCACTTGTCAGAGTCACTTTTCATGAGCTTGCCTGTGAATGTTCTTGAAGGATCAGTACTATAATGACAAAACCTAAAGTAACCACTGTTAATTACAATTTAAACCTTGAATTTTGGTTACAGTAACAGGTTAGTGGTTGTCAGTGCTGTCAATAGAATACTGACAATGAAAAACCCCAACTTTTCCAATGGTTAGGGGAAGGCAGTGTCAGTAGTTTTAAATAGCCCTTGTTTTGATGCTCAGTTGTATATTACATATATAAAGCAATGTTTATCTGGCCAATGTTAGATAAACTGATGTTTATCCTATGAACAGATGTCAGATAAGCCAATGTTTAGCTGACAAGCAGATGTCAGGCCTAAATGACAGAACTTTTAATATTTGCCACAAACAGCAGAAATGTTAAAGACCTTATTAGAAGGTACCTTAGATAGAAGAACTACAGCTGTTTGCATGAATACACTTTTAACTCTATAAATGATGATCTTATGATATATATACACATATACTGCACTAGGAGTATTAGAACCATTTAAAAGAATTTTTACTTAGTTTAAACTTAGTTGTGTTAGTGTTGTTGGAAAAATACCTTAGGTTTCTGTGTCTGGCATGAGACTAATTTAAGCAGGATGTAAAGAACAGTAAATAACCCTAAATGTACTATGAAGAGAACTAGTCAGCTTATTTTTGGTTATCAGGATCAAAGCCTCTCCCAAAGGATACAGCCAAGTGGGGAATCCATTAGAACTGAGTTGGCTAGCCCCATGTCTGCCAGTGGAGAGAGAGGGGGAAATGGAAGGAAGAAATTTACCCTTTAGGAGAGAGAAAAAATGAGAACTTCTAGATCCTTGAAGTCTCTAGGAAGCCTCAACACAGGCCTCTTCAACCTGTTTCCATCACACGTCTGTGGAGCAAACGAGTAGCAGAATACCCTGGCTTTCGAGTCAACTGTTTCCCAAAAGATCAGTCTTTCCACCCTACGTGAGGGTTCTTTTAGATGGGATGCCAATCCTGAATGCTAACCCAACCACCAAAACATCAGAACTATTATGCACTGGGCAAAGAGGCTGATACCAAAACAACATGTAAAATGAAAAGACAGCAATCTGCTGATTAGATAAAGGGGTAAGTATAAAGTTAGGAGAGTCAATGACTGAGGGCCACGGCTTAGAGATTGTTAAGAGATTACTTCCTAGACTGTTGATGTTAATGAGCAGAATGACTTGGAACACATCGTAGGGTTGTTGTTGACCTGCATGTAGCCCCCGGAGCCCAAAAATAACAGGCTTAGTTATTGGAAGTTAATGACACACATCATTTTGTACTTTAGGATTAATTACCTTTTTGTAGACTCTTAAAAACTTACGGTTTTATCATTACATTTGCAGGGTGAACTTTTGTCTGGTTTTGGTAAAATTTTGTGTCAGTCTACAGCACCAAAAGATCTTGGTAGTTATTTTGATAAAACAGAAACCCATTTTTTAAATGCACATCGGTACTTTAAATTTTGACCTTAGAAAACGTTTAGGTAAACTTTAAATTATAAACTTATAAGCTTTAAGACCTTAATTTGTATATTGAAATAGCCTTTGCAAAAACCCAAATTTAGATAGCACTGTTTTAAATAAAGCTCTTAGTAGCCTTATAACTTAAGAGACATTGGAAGAAAATTAAACCATCTTTTAATAATAGCATTCTATAAGAACAGAACACATGGGTCAATAAACTTAATTATAAAAGAGTTAAATGTAAATTACACTCATGGTAGAATAAAACAGATTGAGATTATTATTTATAAAATTTTCTTTAGTCCTAAGGTCAAGAATAATTAGGCCTGATAACCTTTGAGACATTTGTGCACATTAACTTTATAAAAGTAGCTTAAGGACCATCCTAAAGACATCTAAACACACGCACAGATCCATAGATATTATGACCTAGGGATGCCAATGAATATGTGTGCAGGATGAGCTCAAAAAAGTAAAAATTAAGTGGCCACAATTGGTAGGAGATAAAGACATGTACAGAACACACACACAATGACACACAAAACAACTACATTAATTTAGGGTGCACACTTAAACCATTTCTTTTTCATTATCTTTAGAAGATTAGCAAGATTCCTAAATAATTTATAACAGATCTTTAACATAAATAATCTATTATTCGTCCAATCCTTAACAGACCAATACAGTAAAACAAGGTGTATACAAACTATATTAATTTAGAGAATTTTAACCACAAGTTAGTTGTAATTTTCCTAGAGCATGGCAAATGGCGCTGGACACATGGTGCCTCCATCATGGTGGCAGCATTTCCTGTAACCACATGGTCTCTCCAAAGAGTCTCTCAAATGGAACGCAAGTTACATGCAACATGCAGGCTCAGAATAGCAGTCTGTTATAGGAATAAAAGACATCTCCCCAGTAGAGAAAGGTGTCCACGAGTTAGGCATGCTAAAGAAAAGAACAAATAATCACAGGCTGCAGAACCTTTTCCTCTTTGAATCTAATGTCCTATCTTTTAGTTTTAAAGGCTTATTTAAATTTAGGATTATAGGGCAAATAGCAGTGAGCCTTTAAGCTTTGTTACTACCTAGAAAGCCAAGAATCTAAACCCTGTAGAACCCAGCCATTTGCAGATCGACAGTTTGGAAAGGACCTTAAACAAGTTTAGAATCTGACATACTACTTTGAGCTATAATGAACAAAATTTTATTAATTTTAAAACAAAAATAATTCATCGTTAAGAATAAGACCTCTAATTAAATTGCCTATTTAAAATGTCCACAGATAAGGACCCATTTTCTTTAACCTCTTGGCTGTAAGCCTAATTTTATCAGCAGAGCACAGTTAAGGTTAGAATGTTTTTAAATGTTATTATATATCGTATTTTAGAATAATAATTATGATGGGAAGCATTAATTAACACTATATTTTGGTGTAAAAAGATGACATTGTGTTAATAAATTTTTCCTTTTAATTTTGCCTTTAGAGTAAATGAATTTTAAATAAGTTACTATGACTTTTTGTTATAGATATACTTTATGGGTGACCCATGTTAAATCTTTAAATGGCACTGTTTTTAATTTTAGAAAACATACTTTAGAGAATGTAAATGGTATTTAACATTTAAGGACAGCAATAATTAACACCCAGCTACACAGATGTAACCTATATGTTAATTTAGATTTTACCTTTGAATGGAATTTAGAATCTCTGGCTAAGATAAGCAGACAAGTCCTTGTTAGCCCTGGGACAAGGTAGTGTGACCTCAGTGTGAACATTTCTGGGACCCCTGCAGGCTATGGGGGCAAGGAGACTTGGGATGAGGTGCTTAGAGCAGATGGGCATGGCAGGTAAGCAGGCAGAGGAGTGGGTCAGAGGAGGGAGACAGAGAAGGTTGAAGATAGGAAGAAGGCGGTTTGGTTAGGCATGAGACCTTGGTTACCAGAGGTGGCACCCCTCCCTCTGGAGTTTCTCTGGCTTCCCCACTGGTGGTAGAGCTGCTGTGTCTTTGCATTTCCTCTCTCAGCCAGCTCAGGCACTGGGAGTCTTTCAGCTGGAGGCTGCTGGACAGAGGCTGCCAGCCTGTGCAGGGCCGGAGCGTGCACACGTGTGCACACGGGTGCTGTAGTGCCTTTTGTATGTTATAGCCATGGCTGTAACTATTGCAGCACATATGCCACTGCTGCTGCTGCCGTGTGGTCACTGTCACTGTGTTTACACAGTGCTCCATGGCTGGCTAAGAAGCGGGTCCAGGGCCTGTCCGTGCATAGGCCCAAGGGGAGGAATTGGAGGATTGTACCCAGTGGCCATGGGCCTGGAGGCCCTGCCAAATGGTGCTGGCTGTCCCAGGGGGTTCTGCACCAGTGGTGACCTGCTCCAGTCCCCTGGGTCA